GTTCAGGCAATTCTCCTGCCTCAGCCTCCTGAGTAGCTGGGATTACAGGCATGTGCCACCATGCCCAGCTAATTTTTTTGTGTTTTTAGTAGAGACGGGGTTTCACCGTGTTGACCACGATGGTCTCGATCTCTTGACCTCGTGATCCACCCGCCTCGGCCTCCCAAAGTGCTGGGATTACAGGCGTGAGCCACCGCGCCCGGCCTGTAGTAGTATTTTCAATTGTCTGGAGCCATCAGTCCTAGTTTTAGTATCTATGGATATTTTGCAATGAAACAATCCAACTCTCAAACAGGGGTCTCTTTTTCTTTGGCCAGACTTATCTCCACTCTGCTGCATCCACCTTTCCTTGACTGAAGCCCAAAATTCTCATAACCATCACACAATAGACACACAATCACCAGTCATTAGCCCCCTCTCCCAGCCGTATTTGAAATCTAATCACTTAAATGAAGCTTCAATGGAAACATCTCCTCATGGAAAGTGCAAATCATGTACAAAGTACAGGCTGTAAGATGATAGGGTGACCACACTGTTGGCGAGTCTTATCAACGTGGGTCTAGTCGACGTAATTAAAGACAAAATTACCCTCCTCCGAAGTAAAACTATATATAAAAAAACCCTCTACTACCTAACAAGATTTTGTTACAATGCAGCCCTTTTCCCTCCTTGCTCATCCCGCCCCCATCCCGCTCTACTCCTGAGATCTGCATCAGGCCAGTAGAAAAGGATCTTGGCGGCCGCGGTTCCCTAGCCTCTCCGGGAGGGCGCGTTCAGTAGTACGCTGGCCATCGAAACCACTGAGAGTACATCCAAGCGCACCTTGTTTCTCCTGGCACACCCGCTGGGTACTGTTCTCCTGGACTTTTCTCTCCGCCGCTGCGGCTTGCTCTTCCGACCACTCCACATTGTCCCTAAGAAAATCAAACGGGCAGGTTAGGGGCCTCACATCCTAGCTGTGGGCAGGGTGAGTCGCTGGCCTCAGAGCTTGTCACTCCCCTTGGAGAGTGCCTCGGGTAGGGCAGCTGGACTTGTGGCCGGCGGTCGGGGGCTTTTCGGAGTGCTCCGAGGCGGCGGGACAGAGGGAGAGTGACTGGGAGGCCAGGCGAGGGGCAGGGTGATTACCAGGCATTGTGGTGGAAGACGCGCGCTGGATCGTTCAGAAACCGGCTCCCAAACTGCTGCCTCTTATCGGCGAGGACTGCAGGAACACCTTCAGGGTGGGAGCCGGCCATGACACCGGAACCGGAAACACTGTCTTTTCCGTAAAGCGAGAACTTCCTGCGGGCCACGCCCCCTTCTGGAAGACGAGGTGTCTGGGCGGGAAAAGACGGAGGAGGGGCAGGGTGGCCCTGGAGTCCGGCCCGGGTGGCGCTCGGGAGCTGTGGTGTGGGGCTGCCCCAGGGTTGGCGAAGGGCTCTCTAGGGAAGGGGACCACGCAGGGGTAAATTCTCCCTGGAGTCGTTTCTCATTGATGACGTGCTGATGGACGTGCAGGCTGGGCAGAAAGTGGAAGATATTCCACTTGAGCCCCAGTTCAATGCTGGGATCCTCTAACAGATTCCCAAGCCTCCCTCAAATTGAAAAATTGGAAAAATCTTGAATCATTATAAGAGTTGAGGCTGCCTAGTTCCACTGTGGAACTGATGTTCAGAATTGAAGAAGGTGGCAAGCAGCGGGAAGAAACGGCAATTTCCAGCTTCTACGGTCAGCCCTTCATAGTGTGGGTGTATATGTATACACAGTGTGTATATATATTTTGGTTGGGGTAGGGGGAGAAGGGGATATGAAATTAATTTAGAGAACACGAGGCTTAGCAAATCAAATGGAATATCCAAGGACAAGATTTTTTTTTTTAATTATAACCATCTAACCTTTTTGAATCATCCATATTATTATTATTATTATTATTATTGAGACGGAGTCTCGGTCTGTCACCAGGCTGGAGTGCAGAGGTGCGATCTCGGCTCACCGCAACCTCTGCCTCCTGGGTTTAAGTGATTCTTCTGCCTCAGCCTCCTGAGTAGATGGGGCACAGGCATGCACCACCAGGCCCAGCTAATTTTTGTGTTTTTAGTAGAGACGGGATTTCACTGTCTTAGCCAGGATGGTCTCAATCTCCTGAACTCGTGATCTGCCTGCCTTGGCCTCCCAAAGTGCTGGGTTTACAGGCAGGAGCTACTGCACCCAGCTGGAATCATCCATATTATTTTATTTATTATAATTATCCTTATTAGCACAATCAAGATTGTAATACACACATATAGTTGTCATAGTAATACATTTCAACCTTACATTTCTATTTCTAGATCTAATACAAATTGACTCTCAAAGGAATCTAGAAGAAAGTATGTTATAGACAAGGTTATTTGAGAAGACTTCCAAGAGAATCATGATGAATACCACTTGGAAAAGAAGGAAAGGGCAGAGACCAAACACGGACCAGCCTAATACCTCTTGGACTTCATTTATTCTAACTATAATGTCAGAATGAAGGGAAAGATGAATTTTTTTTTTGAAAAAGAAGGAATGGGTTAGTACAGTGCTAGACATAACACATTTTTTTCAATGTGATTCTCAAGTGATTCTCCTGCTGCAGCCTCCTGAGTAGCTGGGATTAAAGGCATGCGCTACTACACTCAGCTAATTTTTGTATTTTTAGTAGATAGGGGGTTTCATTATGTTGCCTGGGCTGGTCTTGAACTCCTGACCTCAAATGATCTGTCTGCCTCGGTCTCCCAAAGTGTTGGGATTACAGGCATGGGCCACCTTGCCTGGCCAGTAATTGTTTATTCCATTGTAAATTCTTTCTGTAGGTAAAACTACGGGGAGCAATGAATGAGTCTACACTTTTCCCTCCAAAGAAATGGGAACAAGCTCTAAGCCCTCTCTAATCAGGAAAAAAAATACACAAGTTAATCAAAAAGATAGTAAAGAACTTGTACTTCATTTGAAGACAATATGCTCTTGCCATTCTTGTGGTCTTTTGAAACATTTTGAACATAAGCTCCATACCCAGAAACAAGTGCAAGGAGTTTTTAATCTTTTCTCAAGGCCAGCTGTTTGCAGATAAGGTGATTGATTTACATTTATTTCTGGCATCTTGTTCTCTCATCTATGGGCTTTTATTTTTCCCTCACTAAAAGTTGTGTTTCCAATCAACAATGCCAATGAATCTTTTCTTGCAGACAGCTCATTGTCTTCACTTGAATTTCCTATATTAGTTCCAATAATTGAGAGACATTTTAAATGTCAAACAGCTTCAGCCTTTTTTGGTGAAATTAAAGTATCCTAAACTTAATTTTATACAATTATTTTTATTGGCCTGTGCAACCTGTTTTTATTTTTTGAAGCACCTAAAATAATTTTTCGGAAGTTTGACATGGCTGTGAGTTCTCTGATATTAGACTTTACACCGGATTGTAGCTGCGGAGAGCACCATGTTTCAGAGGAACTAAGGGTCCCTCTGGTGGTGAGTAAGGAGAACTCTTCTAGCTCAGTGGTTAGCATGGCTTAAATGCTTGTAAAGGTTAAAAACTCTCATTCTGGATTATTGCTTTAGGAAAAACTCTCATTCTGGATTATTGCCTTTGTTTGTTAGCCCAGGACAATGGTAGCTAATTGTTTCCTGATTTTTTTTTTTTTTTGAGACAAAGTCTCCTTCTATTGCTCAGGCTGGGGTGCAGTGGTGTGATTTCAGCTCACTGCAAACTCCACCTCCCCAGCTCAAGTGAGTTTCCTGCCTCAGCCTCCTGAGTAGCTGAGATTACAAGCGACCCCCACCACACTGGCTGTTTATATTTTAGGAGAGATGGGGTTTCACCAGGTTGGCCAGGCTGGTGTCGAACTCCTGATCTCAAGTGATCCACCTGCCTGGGCCTCCCAAAGTGCTGGGATTACAGGTGTGAACCACCATGCCTAGTTTTTTTTTTTTTTTTTTTTTTTTTTTTTTTTTTTTTTTTTTTTTTTTTTTTTTTTTTTTATGAGATAGAGTCTCGCTCTGTCGCCCAGGCTGGAGTTCGGTGGTGTGATCTGGGTTCATTGAACCTCCATCTCCCCAGTTGAAGTGAATCTCGTGTATCAGCCTTTGGAGTAGTTGGGATTATAGACACCTGCCAGCACTCCTGGCTAATTTTTGTATTTTTTTGTATTTTTAGTAGGGATGGGGTTTCACCAGGTTGGCCAGGCTAGTGTCGAACTCCTGATCTCAAGTGATCCACCTGCCTGGGCCTCCCAAAGTGCTGGGATTACAGGTGTGAACCACCATGCCTAGTTTTTTTTTTTTTTTTTTTTTTTTTTTTTTTTTTTTTTTTTTTTTTTTTTTTTTTTTTTTTTTTTTTTTTTTTGGTGTTTTTTTTTTTTTTTTTTTTTTTTTTTTTTGAGACGGAGTTTTGCTCTTGTTACCCAGGCTGGAGTGCAATGGCGCGATCTCGGCTCACCGCAACCTCCGCCTCCTGGGTTCAGGCAATTCTCCTGCCTCAGCCTCCTGAGTAGCTGGGATTACAGGCACGCACCACCATGCCCAGCTAATTTCTGTATTTTTAGTAGAGACGGGGTTTCACCATGTTGACCAGGATGGTCTCGATCTCTTGACCTAGTGATCCACCCGCCTCAGCCTCCCAAAGTGCTGGGATTACAGGCGTGAGCCACCGCGTCCGGCCACATGTGTTTTCTTATTGGAAAATAAATGTTTATTATAGAACTGATAAGACAAAAGAAAATGCCCCTTCCCACCATTAATTTGACTCACTAACTCTTTCGTTTATGTCCACCCAGTCCTTTTTTTCTAATTTAATTATATAAGTGAATCAGAACAGAATGCTTTGCGCTTTTTGAAAAAAATAATTACATTCATCCATTTTAAGTGTACAGTTCAGTACATTTTCATAAAAATCTATATTTGTGTATTCAGTCATAATCTAGTTTTAGAACGACTCCTTGAAGTTCTCCCGTACCACTTAGCAGTTGTAGTCTGCTTTTTAACTTAATAATAACTTGGGAATATTATTTTTTGTTCGAAATATTCTTTTACAACATCATTTACTGTCCTTCTTGTATTGTTTTGTATAGCTATATCATGATTTGTTGGAAATTTAGTCTACTTTAAGTTTCATACTATTAAAAACTCAACATGGTGCACATCTTTGTAATGAAATCATTTTGTACATTCATGATTATTTCTTTAGGATGAATTTCTAGAAGAGGAATTGCTGAGTCAATGGTTATAATCAGCTCCATCACTAAGCTCTGTGAGGTTAAGTCATTTTACCCGTTTGTTCACTGTTATATGTCCAGGTCCTAGAACTAGGTCTGGCACATAGTATGCAACTCGGTAGATAACTCGTCAACGAATGGATGGATACTATACTAAATTCGGCAGAGATATACCAATTTATACTGTCATCAACAGTGTGTGACAATTTAATAGAAAGAATGTATTGCTGTGCATTTTAGATTTTCCAGGACAGATCTTACTCAAAAATATTCTGTCCTGTTATCCCACTGATGGAAGGAAAGATTCCAGGAATTCTAATATTTTGGCATCCAAATTATATCTCCTAGATTCCCTGTTACACCCGTATCCATATGAAACAAGTCTCTTATCAAGTCATAAATCTTGTTTTTAGCTAGAAAATATGGTTACTTATCTATCTATAAGGTTAGCTCTTCACCACAACGTTGTATCTTTATAAATAATAACAAGTATATTTAGACTCTTTGACTATTCATGGTACAACTCACAAAATTACCTTAAGACCATTTAAATAAACAGCTTTGGGGGCACTATCTTCATTGTTTTTTCCTGACATTTTATAATTTTATGGTAGGGTGCAATGGCTTATACCTATAATCCCAGCACTTTGGGAGGCTGAGGTGAACAGATCACCTAAGGTCAGGAGCTCAAGACCAGCCTGGGCAACATGGTGAAACCTGGTCTCTACTAAAAATACAAAAATTAGCTTGGTGTGGTGGCATGCACCTGTAATCCCAGCTACTCCGGAGGCTGAAGCAGGAGAATTGCTTGAACCTGGGAGGTGGAGGTTATAGTGAGCTAAGATCATGCCACTGCACTCCAGCCTGGGAAACAGAGTGAGGCTCTGTCTCAAACATTTTTTTTTTTT